ACCATCACATCCTTCCTTTTTTCGTTTTTTTGTAGTCCGATTGCGTAAGCGCTGTATCGCCTTCCACTGCGTGTAGTCTTGTGGTCGTGTGCTGCTCGTATCCACCGAAATGTCCGGCTGCGTTGGCTGCTTCCGCACGATGCCGTGCTTGTTCACCACGTTGTCTCCTTAACTGCCACCCGGGTTGCGTCGAAATAGGACTATCCCCATCTCTTACGTCGTAGCTTCGTTCGCCTTTGAGACCTTTTCCACTTCGCCTTTCCTTGCTTCCTCCAAGACCCGTTAGCTCCCGGTGTCCGGCGCGAACCCCAGACCTCGTTCTCCGGGCAACAGGCGTGGAAGCTGCTCTTCGTTCCGCGATCGTAATATTTCTTTTGTCGAAGCATGCGCTCACGCAAAGCGCTCATACAATCAAGCTTCTGCCGATGGTATATTCAGGCTGCAGCAGAGCTATTTGGCCGATCGGCAACAGGGGTTCTTCGTCCTACGGCCAAACAGACGTATTGCGCTGGACTGCCATTCCAATTTTCGGCAGATGGCATGTTCCTTCGTTCTAACAACATGATGCTAAGGATCTTCTTTGGTCTCCTTGGCTTTGGTGGTAAGTATTTCTCTTTCTTCCTTCCACGGCTGACTCATGCTTTTCCATTTCGACTGACTGTGGTTGAAGGGCTGGTTAAACGATGAAGGAAATCCCACTTTTCGCTTGAATACTCCGAAATTTCGGCTGCTGATTGAATTGGGCGGCCATTGTCGGACACTACTCTTCTCCGGTATCCCATGTGTCGCGCAAACTCGATCGTTCGGACTAGCTTGTTATCACGGCCTGTGTGCTAGTAGACGTCGAGGAGCCATCAATCTCGAAATAGTCGCTGTAAAAGTAATCGACAGCGATCAGGTAATTCTTTCCGTCATGTGTCAAAGATGTCTAGGGCCGACTTTCTAGCCACGGCCTTTCCGCGGGACCTCACTCAAGCATCATAGGCTCCTTCGGCTGGCGCGACATCATAGTGCTCGACAGGCCTAAGCAGTTTGAAACGTGATCCCGCATATCTGACTAGTCATTCCAGGCCAAAACATTAGCTCTCGAGCTCTCGCCACGCAAGCATTGACTCCTGAATGACTTCCGTGTATCAGCTCCAGCCATGGGTCGTTGCATTGCCTTTGGAACGAGTATACGGTTGCCTGTTGAAGATATAGCCCATCCAGTGGTGACAAGTTTCATCCCGAAAGTTAAATGAAGGGAGTCAACTCCTTTGGCAGCTTGTTTCTTACTATCGGGCCACCCTTTCAGTATCGTTTCCTTGAGCCGATTACACAGCTCGTCTTGCTGCCGTGTGGCGTAGTAGTTGCTGGAAACGCACTCCTCTGTGACGGCCAATAGCTGAGTGACATGGACCAATGCTCTTGGTCTTATTGCCGTTGCGGTCACATCGGAAAGATAATGCCCTAAGACAGTGTGTCTGCAATGTACATCCTCGACCCCGGTTGGTATGACGATGTCTAGGTCGTACTTTCTGAGCCGAATGAGCATTCGTGTAAGACGGCGTGGGACGACGTGCAGTGGTTTATTGGCTATTGATACCAGAGGCTTGTGATCGGTAAAATACAGTGCGTCCGGCGACCAAAAGTGTAATCGTTGAAACGCTCTACGGCATAAACCAATGCTAGCATCTCCTTTTCAATCTGTGCATAACGGCGCTCGGATTCCGTTAGTGTCCGACTGCGAAAATCGATGGGCTTCCCGTTCTGCATTAGCACGGCACCGATACCGAATTGGCTGCTGTCACACTGGATCTCAAGGGAAGTGACGCGATCGTAATACGCTCAGGACAGGGCCGCACGCGATCAGTTGTTTGATGTTCTGGAAAGCCTCCTCCTGCTTCTGTGTTCCACTGCCAGCTCCTCGCCCTTATGTGTAAGTTGTTACGGATCAACCCATTCACTCGGCTATGCGTGGAAGGGAAGCGGCTGCGGTGTATTTCACCCATCCGTTTAGTTCCCTGCCTCACGGCTTTAAAATCTGTCGGCGGTGGCATCTCTTTATTATGCTCTAACTTTCTCCGGATCGTGCTTTAGACCTTCTCTGCGCTCAAAACATGTCCTGGAACACCACTCTGTATTTTTCGCTAAACTCAATTTTTCTCACGTTTCAATCTGATATTCCGTCTTACAGCGTTCTAGAAATCTGCTCAGGTTACGGGTCGTGCCTCTTACCCAGAGTGCCCCCAAAAACCACTACACGTCGCTACACAAATAGCTCCGGGTAGATCGCTAGGGCCTGCATTAAATCGTTTCTGAAAATTTCACTAGGACACTTTCAAACCGACCAATGTCAGCGGCCAACCACGCGAAACCGTCCAAATGGCGTGCCGAACGTGGTTAAATAAACTGGACTCTTCGTCATAGCTGGACCCGTGCCAGAAAGCGGAAAGCGAGGTCGACCTTCGGGAACAATCTGGCTTGGACAATCGGGTAAGACGTCATCTAGCGTTGGTAGTCGTAAATACTCTCTCCTGAGTGCGGCGTTGAGCGGCTTAGGGTCGCATGCACGACAGCACGCAACAAGCGCCACTAGACTTCTTGGTGATTATCGCGACTTGACTTGACCAATCGGTTTGCTCATCGACCTTGGCAATCACCACCTAAACTGATCAACAACGCGGCAACTCGTCTAAGAACTTCTCACGCAAAGCGATATGTACTTTTCTCTCGCTGGTAAGACTACTGGTCTAGCGGACTTCGTTTATAGAGCGACAGTCGAGCTACGTCCGTGCGAATTTATCCCACCTGCTGGTTACCATCAAACACACTAAGGGAGAGTCTGTCTACGATCCTCTTGGACCTACCGACTCGCACACCGTCGCACGTGTGCAAACAAAACGCATCATGATTAAAAGACAAACACAACCCAAATCCGTATTACTCTGAATGGCAGCAGATCAAGGCCCAGGCATAGCGGCACTAACATAAAAGCTCCTCCGATACCAGCGAGGAGCAAAATCCACACTTCTGAGTAATAATGTGCCACTCACATGGTCACGCCATCACTTGTCACCAGGAGTTCTATGGCAACACGCCTTACATACGGACTAAACGCAGCCCGTTCAGGTTCGCATAACTTTAGTTCCGCTTCCACACTCTGAGCTGTGTCTGTATTTGGCGGTATTCTGCATCGGGACAAGTATTTGTGAGAGAAGTATGTTCACGCTGCTCCTGAATCCAATTGGAATCGCACCGGACGCCCTTGAATAAGAAACGTTGCGAATACTACATGACTTGTCTCATCACGTCCCTAAGTCATTGTTTGTTAATAGCCAGTCCCTGCGAAGCGCTCGCTCCGGCATCATAGTCCGTGCCACCCGTCCGTGAGGTCGACTTTGGCTTGCCCCTGACAACAACGCATGCAAAGCTAAGGTATCTTACTTCGCACCACTTTGCAGCCACGATGCGTTCGGTGCCCCAATGGCATGGCAACAATCACTCCTATTTGCGCCATTAGGCGATTCGTGAGCTGAGCGTGCCCCCATAACTGCGCATACAATTGAGGTTTGATTCGCCGCGACTCTCCCCGCCTATGATCTTGTCGATGACAAATTTCGCGCGCCTACCAGCCCAACAGGATCAGCGACCTAGTGCCAACAGCTTCCGTGCCTCTGGCCAGCTCCATCGTGCTGCCTGTCTGAAACAATGCTTGATGCCGGCCTACTCGATTCGCTATAAAACGAGATATACGCATTGCAATTGTTCCCAGCAGACAGGGTTACGCATGTCGCAGAAAGGCGTCCTCGGAAAACGTCTCCTCATTCTTTATGCCAATTATAATTCGATCGGCGGATCAGCGAATCTCGTAAACAGGTGCAAAAATTGCAATCCCGCGCCAGAATTTTTCAGCTCCGTGATGTATGCGTCGATTGATCTCACCGCGGCAGGCGATTTCGGCTGATAAACAGTTACCTTTTGGGTAAGTGTCGTTTGTGTAACCTTCGCAAACTCGCCGAATCTGCGTATTACTTCATCCAGCCTCCCATCTCCTGAGTTGCCATCGCTGAGATCCAACGTTTGCGCAGCGTCCGCCTGGCTTCCGTCTCCAATGGCATCCTAATCAACATCGCCATTGATAGGCCATGGCAGGAGAATCCAACTTGAGGTCCCAGTGTTAGCAAAGTGCTAGCACACTTATCGGCCTTCCCATATTCTCCAATTCTCCGGCAACGCAACTCTCGGACCGTCATTCTGCAACTGGTGCTGGCAGCGGAATCGTTGGTTGTTCCACCAACATAACGCATAGCGCGGGCTTCGGCCCGTGTCCTTGCTTGTCTCCGCTGTCCGCCATGTAAAGTGGCCCTCCGTTCATGAAAAAGTCCAAGTCTGGGCCTCGATCAGAAATTCATTATTCATAGAACGCAACTCATTTTATATCTCGAGTCAATTAGAATCACGAAAGCGGCAAACACCGATGGGTTATACTCCATCGACATGAAGCGCATGGTGCTGTAGCCCATGCGGTCGCGATTGCCTGAGTCAGGCAGACCTAGTGAGCCATGAGCGAGGCCACTCGAGGCCAACACCGAAACCACGACGAGTCCTGCAGAGAACGTAGGCAGAATCGGCGCAGCGTTTGTAGGTACGCTGCATTCGATTTACTTACCGCGTGCTTGCATGCAAATCTCTTTATTTCAGGTGGTGGGTTTTCAATTTTGTCCTAATGCTTTCTTTCTCATATTAACCTCTACCTGTACTATCTCCTATTAACTTGCACAGATCGCTGAAGCTAATTGTAGTTAATTTCGATAATTTTTTCTGCGTTTGTGGCATTTCCTTAAAATATATTTTCTGACCTCTTGAACTTATCGCGGATTCGTTCGTAAACAATTTATTTTATACGCTTATTTAGTGAAGATTTATGCCGCTGTATCTGTCTGCATTAATCGATTTATTTTATTTCATCTTGTCGTTTCAAGTGATTGGCTGTTGCTTGATATCCCCGGTGTGGCTGCGCTTGATGTGTATGTTGACAAGGTGTCTACCTGTCTATTACCCACTACCTCGTCCATACTGGCTCCAGGAGACAGTTGGTCGTTGCTGGAGGGGACGGGGTGCACGGTCCTTGTGGCCCTCCTAGGCTCAACGAGTGGTTTCATGCACTCAGTGTGGAGCGGATCACGGTCCAGCCACTGCCCTGTGTGCGCTTGATTCCCCAAATACGACGTGCTTGTGTTTGCCTGTGAAGGAGTGTGGGCCGGCTCCGTTGATGAAACGTGGCTCCCATCCGCATGCCTCCCGGTCTTATTCCTTCGGGTTTACACTGGATATGGGGTGTGTGGTTGGAGCTGTGGGTGATGCAGCGCAAGCCATCCATGGTCCCTCTGTAGGCGCAGGTGTCTTGTGGCTGGCCTTAGTGACAGGCAAATCGGAAACCGGATGCCGCCAACCATATAATTTCCTTTGAGGATTCCTGTAGCTCCACTTGAGAATAAGCATGGCTTAGATCAAGTTTCGAGAACTTTTGTCCACCCGACAAAGTTGCGTAAAGTCATCTATCCGTGGAATCGGATAATGTTCCATCGTCGTCGCTTGATTAAGCGTCGGTTTTTAGTGGCCGCAAATGCGAACTGAGCCATCAGGCTTCTGTACAGGAACGATGGGTGCAGCCCAGGAAGCGTGGCGTACGCGTGAAATTATTCCGTCCTTTTGTAATCGCTCTAACTCTACCTTCAGACGGATTGCGAAAGGTAGACTCGTGCCTTGTAAAATTTCGGTTGAGTCTGTGGCTTGATATTCAAGCAAGCTTTGAAATCACGTAATTTCCTAGGTATGTTTGTATCGAAAACACTGGCAAAGCTTTTCAAGAGTGTAGGTAAGTCAGAAATACTGTCCACCTTCTTGACAGATTGTAATATTTCCAGCATGTCCTTTAACCAGTTCCTCTCAAGTAGATTAGGTCCGTCTGTGTTAACAGCGATTAGAGGAAGAGTCATATTGTCCCCATGATGTATTTTCACGTCACACCCACCCAAAACATCGAGTATTTCCCCAGTGTATGATCGTTGTTCAGCAATGTAACCGAGGCCCCGTTATCGATCTCCAGACATATTGGCTGGCCTTCCATGTTTAAATAAACAGTGTACGGGGGTATTCCCATTGCGTGCGATGTGGTTGTGCGCGAACTTAGATAGAATGTGGGATCGTCAGTGTTTGCCACAGTTCGAAGAATACCATGGGCATGGCGGGGTGTCGGTCGTTGAAGCACAGTCGAACGACATACGCGTGCACTTATGACAAGTAGACTTTTAGTGTCTGCAATCAGTGAGATTTCCATGCTTCTCGCCGCATCTGTTGCACGTAAAGAAACATTTGTTGTTGTGTGTTAGTTGAGATTTAATAGCATGAACGACATCTGAAGGAGAATCACTTCGATACTGAATTATTTGTTGCACAACGCTCTCCCTTGTCTGATCAGTGAGCAGGCTGTTTCCCAAGTGAGTTTATTCTCCTCTTCTGACAGCAGACGCTCTCTAGCTTTATCGTCTCGAATGCCAACCAAAAGGCATTGCACCGCCATCGTCCCTTCGAATTTCGTTGTGGGAATTTCATTGCAACGGCAGTCAGGAAGGGACTTTTGTATACGACTGATGAATTCATTAACCCTCTCCTCTTCTCCCTGTCGTAAATGAGAAAAACTTAGGCGCGCAGTAAAAACATGTTGCCGCGGCCCCCAAAGGCCATCCAGGGCGTTAAAGCAGTCCGTCAGGGATGTGCTTTCGTACAAACGCAACGCATCAAAATGCCGTTGACCTTCTGCATCGAGGTGTTGTCTCAGTAGTTTGATAGATTGGGTTCTACTAAGTTGGATGTGGGGGTGTGTAATTGTGAAAAGCTCAAGGTAGTCACAGAAGATTCGTTTCCAACGATTCCAAACTGCTAAGGATGGCTTGGACGACGTGTCCTTCCAAAAGGGATCAGGCGAGGTAAGATGGCTCATAGTAATTTATTCCAGGGTTAATCTACGTCGCCAAAATATCACAGTTTGGCAATGGCGGAACTAACGCACAGTTGCTGGCTCTTAGCCGAAGTATCACATAGCAAAACACGTCAAGCACATGGAAGGCAAAACTATATTTTAACCGCCACGTTGTACAACGTATTGATCCACTATTCCAAACTAGGCCAATCGATAAATGGGTGAGCGGGTTACTGACACACGCCAGCGGATACAGGCAACGAATAGAAATGACTCAGTAAATTGACCGTGAGGATGCCACAACCAGGTACGGGTCCGATGGAATGCGCACCACTGAGTAGACCCAGAAGGTCGAAACAGCGCTATCTGGTGATTTTCCAGACTTGCCAAAGCCTGCTGACTGAGAGTGAACCGTGATGAAATCTCTGGATTATACCAAAATCCTCACTATTTATTAGTAATGCAAAAATCCCTCCGTATAGCTTCTAAGCCTTAAGTCTTCACTTGTGGAGATAACTGCCGTCGCATGCACATTTGGTAACTGGCATGGCAGTGAAAGATGAGCCGGGCTATATCATAGTGAGCTGTCAATCACGCACGTCCGCGGCTGTCGTACACGGGGAAGTGGCCCTAGGTTCTGCCATCCTGAAGTCATGCGGTCTGAACCCATCAGGTGTCCGATGAAAGGCGCACCATTAACGAGACCCAGAATGTCGAAACAGCGCTGTCTGGTGCTTGTACAGACTTGCCAAACCCTGCTGACTGAGAGTGGGCCATGATGGTTTAACTGAATTATACCAAATTCCCCGCTACTCATTAGTGATCACAAATGTATAATCTACGTAGCGCCACCAAACTTTCGGTGAGCCATCGGTTTTTGTTAACGCTATGTTCTCGATATTGTAGTGTACCGGAAAACACGCTCTTTCAGTATTTTTCAACATTGGATTTTACGGTTGTTTTAACCTTCAAAACATCCACTTGTTTTACTGACTGCACATCCATTGACAAAAAATTGTTTTGGTGAGTACCGTGCTGCACCGTTGCTCGCTCTGGTTGATTCGCTTCCTATTTTTGTAGCCTGCACCATACACGTTGGGTTCAGTCGCCTCAAACTTCCATACTGTCCATTATTCGACACGTCTCTTACGTGTCATTGAATACCGACTAGTATCCCAGGCGTCACCCAACAATTGGTGACCCCAGTCCAGAACACGCCGTCCGCCATTTTGAATTATCATTTTGGTGAGCTCGTTAAAGCGAGTTTGATTCATTACTCGCTGTCGTTTTGTTTTCTCAACTGCCGCCTATACTTATTCATTTCTCACGATGAATAGTCTTGATGATAAACCATCTACGTACGTGATTAGTGCCGTAGAGCTAGCCTCCTCACCTTTTGGGAGAATGACCCGTTGTTATGGTTTGCGCATATAGAATCCAATTTTTCCAATTGTAAAATTTCTTCTGATAATGCTAAATATCATCAACTTATGTCCCTGCTTCAGCAAAATGTATCCTCCCAGGTGAGACTAATTATAGCTTGCCCCCCTCCCGATGCTAAATAGGAGACTTTAAAGAAGGCGATCATCCAGCGAATCACGCCGTCTGACAAAGTCCGACTTCAGCAACTGTTTAGGGATCTGCATCTACGGGACAGGATGCCTTCAGCCTTGCTGTGACATATGTAACAGCTCCTAGGCACATCTAGCATGGAGGCTGGGATTCTCCGCGAAATGTGGATGCAACGCCTGCCGAAAAACACACAGGCCATCCTCGCCGTGGCAAGCACCCTGCCTCTCGAAGCATTTGCAGAACTAGCAGACCGTGTCATCGAACGACATAAGCCAACGAACGAATCTAGAACGTTCACTCGACTTAGCCCCGTCGCAGCCCCAGCGACATCCGCGACTAGTGAGCCGTCAGCAATCGACGCATTCTCATCGCAAATAGCGTCACTACAACGCCAGGTCGAGAAACTCTCTAGACCGTAAGCAGCGCAGCCGCTCTAGCTCATCACCCCGTCGCACGACACGTAACAATTCAGGCTTTTGCTTTTACCACCCGCGTTTTAACAACAAAACAATGTGCGAGCAACCATGCAGTTTCTTCGCCGCGAAGCATGAAAACTTTCAGGCCGGCACGTAATGGCGACTAACGGTGTCGGCAAAGCCCCAAGTCGTCTCATCTACATTAGGGATTGAGATTCCGAGACCCAGTTCTTAGTTGATACCGGGGCGGAAGTTAGCGCCATTCCCCCTATGCCAGGTGAACCTATCGCTTCTTTGTCGACAATCCTAAGTGCCGCCAATAGCCACCACCACCACCACCAATAGCCACCTACGGTCATCGGTCGCTTACCCTGGACCTAATTCTTCGGCACACGTTCCGCTGGGTATTTACCGTCGATGCAGTCCCCTTTGTCGTCATTGGCATTGACTTTCTTAGGCATTTCGACTTCTTGGTCGATGCAAAACGCTAGATGATGGTCGACACTGCAACGAAATTCAGTGTACGTGGCATCACCGCCGATACGGCATCTATAACACCAGTCTACACCTTTCCTCAGACCTCACCAGACTACGCCAACCTCTTTTCTCAGTATTCCAAGCTCGTTCAACCAATGAACGCAGCTTTGCCCGCGGCATCCCAAGTCAGGCATCACATACGGACGAATGTGTCATGCCGTCCACGCCGACTATCGCTTGGGAAACTAAAGGTAGCTAGGATGGAGTTTGAGCACATGTTCGAACTGGAAATAATCCGCCTTTCCGACAGCCCTTGGTCCTCTTCCCTGCAGATAGTCCCCAAGAAATCTGGTGACTGGTACCCTTGCAGTGATTACCGCGCACTTAATCGGCTAACCGTCCCAGATAGGTAACCCATCCCACACATGCAGAACCTTACCGCATGCCTCACAGGTAAGACGATCTTCAGTAAGATCGATTTGGCTCGCGCCTATCACCAGAAGAAAATGACATCCCTAAAACAGCCGTCATCACTCCTTTCGGCTTGTTTGAATTAGTAAGAATGCCATTTGGTCTGTGCAACACCGCATAGACCTTCCAATGCTTCATCCACAATATCACTCGTGGCGTAGACTTCGCCTATTACTACCTCGATGATATTTTAGCAGCCAGTTCATCGGAACAAGAGTACCTCGACAATCTTCGAACGCTCATTCAGCGCTTGACCCAACACGGAGTCATAGTCAACTCGACTAATTGCGAACTCGGCAAATCACTGGTAGAATTCCTAAGCCACCTCGTTTCATCGTTCGGTATCTAAGTCTTTCCTGATAAGATCCAGGCAATCAAGGACTTCGCAGCTCCGACTTCGTTCAAGCACCTCCGTTGATTTTGTGGTTTGATCAACTACTATCGACGCTTCATTCCGCGCTGCGCTCAGCTCATGCAGCCTCTGACTGACCTACTCAGAGGGAATGAACGTAAGTTCGCTTTCCCTGACACAGCACAGACAGCCTTCACCGAGCTCAAGAATGCTATCTCCAACATAGCCCTCCTCGCTCATTCCGAATCGACTGCACCTCTTCCTATCACGACTGTTGCCTCAAACGTCGCGGTAGGAGCCGTCCTCCAACAACACGTTGATGGGCAATGGCAACCCCTTGGGTTCTTCTCCAAACGCTTGCAGCCAGCAGAACCCCGCTACAGCACGTTTGGCAGAGAACTGCTCGCCATTTACCTAGCCATTCGTCACTTCCGGCACACACTCGAAGGCCACACTTTCACGGTCTACACTGACCACAAGCCCCTTATCTTCGCCTTCAACTCTGGTTGCAACAAATATTCACCAAGGGAAACAAGCCACGTAGACTTTGTCACGCGTTCACTGCTGACATACCTCATGTCTTAGGTGTCGACAATCCCGTCGTCGACGCTCTCTCACGCGTCAACCTCACTCTCCAGTCTTTGCCTACCGTCGACCTTGCCGCCATGGCATCGGCTCAGGCTCAAGACGAAGATATACAGCGCACTCTGCACTCCACTTCGCTGCATGTGCAACCTGTTCCTCTCCAAACCACGGAAGGAACCATTCTCTGTGACACTTCCACAGGTTGTCCTAAACCCCTCGTGTCCGTCTCCTTCAGACGCACAGTCTTTGACGCACTGCACTCACTATCACATCCCGGTATCCGTGCATCTTTGAATCTGGTCACCGAACATTTGGCTTGGCCACGCGTAAACAAAAATGTTCGTACCTGGTCTCGCGCCTGCCTTCAATGCCAGCGCTCCAAAATACATCGTCAAACACGCAGTCCTCTTTGTTCATTTCCCGCCCCAGACTCTCGCATGTATACGTAGATCTGGTAGATCCCTTGCCTCCTTCATGCGGATTCGTATACATTCTTATATAGATTCTCATATATGTCGACCGCTTCACCAGATGGCCAGAAGCCATTCCCGTAACAGACTGCACAGCTGAGACTGTTATCCGGGTCTTCTTGGACCGGTGGGTCTCGCACTACGGATTTCCATCCACCATTACAACTCACCGAATCATCACAATTCGATACGTTCTGCAACTTTTTAGGCTGTGGTCGCATTTATACCATAGCGTATCGCCTAGCAGCCAACGGTTTAGTTGAACGCTTCCACAGACAGCTTAAAACCTCGCTCTGCGCCTCCTCCGGCCCTAGCTTGAGCAAAAACATTTCGCTCATACGCTTAAGCATTCGCAGCAGCATCAAAGCTGACTTACAATGTGCACCAGCAGAGCTGGTTTACGGCATAACGCTAAAGTTGCCAGCAGAATTAGTTTCGGCTCCCGCATCATCGGGTTTTCCCGCCTAACTTTGCGTCCTCCCTAGCTCGACGCATGCGTTCACTACGCCCGACTTCCCCGTGAGCAGACTAGAGATGTGCAAATGAACAGCGGACTCTGTACCTGCACTCACGTCTTCCTCCGCACCGACGCAGTGCGGCGCCCCCTCCAGCCTCCCTACACTGTCCCTTTCAGAGTCCTGCAACGGACTCCGAAACATTTCACTTTAGATCAGAATGGTCACCGAACAGCGGTGTCCATCGACTGCCTCAAAGTTGCTTTCTTTGACGAACCACTTGCAACCCATCCTGATGCTATCAAACAAGCACCCGCACCTGCGGTAACTTCCCGAGCACTAGATATCCCGAAACCCTTTGTTCCGCTTGACCCTCAACCTACCCCGCCTCAAC